GGGGTTACTAACCAAAATATATAAGGAACTCAAACAACTAAGTAGCAAGAAAACAAATAACCTGATTACTATTAATAGATGGGTAAAGGACCTAAATAGACATTTCTCAAAAGAAGACACAGAAATGGCCAAAAGGTATATGAAAAAATGCTCAACATCCCTAATCATCAAGGAAATGCAAATTAAACCACAATGAGATATCACTTCACACCTGTTAGAATGACTATTATCAAAAAGAGGAAAAGTAAGCGCTGACAAGGATGTGGAAAAAAGGGAACTCCTGTATGCTGTTGGTGGGAATGTAAACTGGTATAGCTATTATGGAAAACAGAATGGAATTTCTGCAAAAATTTAAAAATAGAACTACCATATGATCCAGCAATCCCACTACTGGGTATATATATCGAAAGGATTTGAAATCAGTATCACTATACAAGAGAGTATCTTTGTTCTTAGGAAACACAAACCAGTAGAGAACTGATGCATTCAACCTACTCTCACATGGTTCAGGAAAAAATAGAGAAAGATAAAGCGAATATATAGAACATTAAACTTAGCAAAATGGTGAAACTGGATAAAGGGTATACACGAGTTTTCTATATTATTCTTGCAACTTTTCTGTAAATTTGAAATTATTTCAAAATAAGTTTAAAGTGGCCTCTGAGACACAATGATGTAATATATGTTGTTCAACATCTAGTACCACCCTATTAAAAAATTATTTTGCCTTATCTATTCAAAAAAGTTAATGAAATAGACAACTTGGTCATTACAACTATTTAATTCCATCTATTTCTGATAAATAACTTTGGAGCTACCATTTCTAATGTACCTGGTATCAATATCAGCCGCTTGGATCGTGTTAAAAAGCAATTCAGCAACACCAACTCCCTCAACATTGATCAAGTGAGGCTGAAATAAAGCTTCTGGTGCTTCAAATCGTTCTCCCCCAACTTTGATAATGCGTCCATCCGGGAGCTAGAAACGGAAATAACCAGGTACTAGTCAGCAAAAGATTAAAATTTCTCAGTGTTCTCCAGAACACTAATGCTTTAAAACATATCTGTTGTGTAATCAAATTATTATCAACAGCAATTTGTCCTAAAATGTATTTTGAAGGAAAAAAAGGTAAAATATGTTACATATAGATAACTGTTCTTATTATCATCATGCTCTGTTCTGTTTTTTAAAATGGTATGCCATGCCGCAAATATCAGAAATTTCCTAGAGAAACCACTAATGCATGTTCTATCTGTGTGTGCAGCAAAGCACAAACAGGTAGCCAACTATTGCATTCTGATTACTGCTGGTATGTGTTAATGACACTCATATAATTTTAACACATTTGGATTTTATGGATATTTCTGCCAGGTAGAATAGACACCTTAAATATTTTTAATAATTTTCTTTCACCAAATAGTTACACTGTGAAACTATTACTTTGCCATCAAAATACTTCATTACATGTGTGCTACTTCTAACAGAAATCATTTAATCCAAAAACAGTTTTATGATCAAAGAAGTTTAAGGAACACTGATCTAGACCATTTTTTATTAGGTATTTCTGTTGTATCCTACTAGGTCCTGATAAATTTTTAGTAACTAATAAATATAATTTAAGCAAATAAGATTTAAACAATAGGTAGGTATCATAACAACATGACACTGTATAGAAAGCCCTTACCATGAACAACATATTCATATTTAATTAAACGAGAAAAGTTAAGTAGAAACTCCCTCTCATACCACCTCACAAGTCACTGGATTAACCTAAGTAATAAACATGCCTATGTATGCTGGCATTTGACACATTTCTATATGAAATACCAGAATATGAATACAGTGTATTCATAATAATATAATATTTAGACTCCAAACTTGACTTTCCAAATGACAAAATACTAAAAGCAAATTCCTAGAACACTCCATGTTTGCTGTAATTGTTTACAGATATGTAAAAAGCAATCACATTTTGTAAAAACTCCAGAATTATCTTTTTATAAATTCTATCAAGTTTCTTAAAAAAGGATACCAATCCAAACATTTTACCCTTATTAAAAAAAAAAAAAAACACCTCAAGTGAGTTCACATAAAAATGACCCAAAATAGCTAGAAAAACTTCACATAGCATATCTTATTAGCAAAACCTCTTTACCCATACATTTCAAGCCTCTCTGACAGCGTAGCATCTTTCCATGCTCTGTTGGCCAGCATGGGGTCAAGTTTTCCAACTACCTTAATGAATTGTTAAAACTACCTATAGGCATCTCATATCATTGCACCAAATCTTACCCTATGCAGTGTTTGTCCACTCTTGTCCCTCTTCACCTACTCATCAGTTTATAGTTTTATACTCGTACATAGTTCTGTAACCTACCTCAAAGTTCTTTGATAAAGCAAGGAAGAAATAAATAAAACATGTTTTACATTTCTAGTTCCCTCATCTTTTGTCTGGTGTCACTTTATTCCAAACAAGTCAGGTAGATGGAAATCTAGAGAAACTGTAAAGCAGATTTCCAGAAAGACTCTCCAGGGCAAATCTGAAGTTACAAAGTGGGTTTTATTGAGTATTTGGATCAGTATCTTTAAAAAAAAAAAAAAATTACAAAAATTTGTAATTACTTTAAAAATGACTGTTTTGCACATATTTGTGAATATGTAGAGCTAACATGGATCATGTGGTTTAAGAATACTTGCTTTTATTGCCTATTACTCTATTTCATTTCAGTAACAATTGGATCAAAGACGAGACATGAAAGTATTATACTTCATACTCAGATGAATAGGCTTGAGATGGTAATTCACTAAAAATTCAGGTAGGATCAAATCCTCTGTTGTTATAAACTATAACTTAGTTCTAAATCTCAGCAGTTACAATTTCAAGTTAACATTTGTTTTGACTGTCTCATTTAGAAACTGTAAGTCAGGGCGGGGCGCAGTGGCTCACGCCTATAATCCTAGCAATCTGGGAGGCCAAAGCGGGTGGATCATTTGAGCTCAGGAGCAAGAGTGAGACCCCGTCTCTACTAAAAATAGACAGAAATTAGCTGGACAACTAAAAATATATAGAAAAAATTAGCTGGGCATGGTGGCACATGTCTACAGTCCCAGCTACTAGGGAGGCTGAGGCAGAAGGATTGCCTGAGCCCAGGAGTTTGAGGTTGCTGTGAGCTGGGCTGACGTCATGGCACTCTAGCCTGGGCAACAGAGTGAGACTCTGTTTTAAAAAAAAAAAAAAAAAAAAGGAACTGTAAGTCAGGAAAGGCTGCCACCTACCGAATTAGTAAAGCTATATTGCTATATTCTAGGACAACCACTTGCAAAGTATGACTAGTCCATGAAATTCTGAAAAATCCAGTAGTCTAGTAAGTTTGAGTAACAGGCATATTCTCACAGTTGTGTACATATTCGCGTATCAGAAGATCTGAGAAGTTCTACATTAAAGTGAAATCGACTGTCTCTCAAACTTATTTGACAATGTAACCCTTTTTTTTGTGAAACACTTATTAACATCTCAGGGAAATAACATTCTGTAAAACATGTGCTGAGAAATACCATTCTAGATACTAGAACCTCAAATTAACATCTCATATTTAATTATATCCTTGTATAGAAAGTTAATTTATGATTTTTGTCTTACATGTGTCCTGAAATAATTAAATCATAGAATCTTAATATACAAATGAACATGAAAAGTCACACATATACATATTAGAACCCAAAACAAAAATACTGGGATACTAACACTCATGGCTGTCCATTTTTAAACATATATATATATTATACACTGGAAATACTTACTGTATAAGATTCAACTAATACTGTGGTTTCTAAGGCCAGTTTCTGCTCTTGCTCAATATTATATCCCACATAACACAGTTTTTCTTTAATCATGCGAACTGTTTCAAAATCAGCAGAATGGTTGAAGGCATATCCTCGCAACAGAAGCAGCTGGTACAAAAAAATGGCAGTAAGTTCATAATAGATCTGAATGAGTTCCATTCTGCAAAAGCTATTAATGCTTACTAAATGTGTCATATCTATAAATACAATGAACAGTGATCTTCCGCTCCTACTGAGTATTTCATAAGTAGGATTTTACCTTCCATAAAAGGATTTATATTTCAATTTCACAGAGAGTAACAGAATTAACAGTTCATGAATAAACAATTAATAAAACAAGGTAGAAAAGCCAATTTTTAGAATATTGTATGAGTACTCATGTTTAGATAATTTTGATAATCAAAAGTATATTACTGAATATTTTAGTACTTATTCCCGTAGTCTGCAACTTGCTCCTATAATCAATGCGATATTTACGAAATGTCCCTAGGTCTTAGAAAGTTTTAACCTTAGTCCCTAGTACAGTGTCTAGCACATATTAGAAGGGCAGTAGGATTGTCAAATAAATGAATGATAAGAGAACTATTAGGATATTCAAAGGTATAATCTCTAATACTTTCTTAAATGTTAGAAATTATTACAATTTTAAAAGCATCCTGAGAGAAAAAAAGATAATATGTATCACAAATACAACTGGACTTTTTGAATAAAAGCTTAATAAATCTCCTAATCTTTGTGTTTATGTTTAAAAGAAGACCCCAGAAACTGTTGGCTACTCTCAGAATTTTGGCCTAGAATGGGTATTATAATTCTCATTAACTTAATCTCCTCACGTGATAAGGATTACTCTAAGTGAGACTGAAGGAACCCAATGTCAAGGTGAAGACAATACAACCCAATTTAATGCACAGACAGGGTTTCTCAGCAGCAGCACCACTGACATTTTAGACCACATAATTCCTTATGGAGCTGGCCCTGTTCGTTGTGGAACGTTTACAGCATCCCTATCCAGTTGTGGTAACCAAAAATGTGTCCACACATTGCCAATATCCCCTAGGGGGCCTCAAAATGTCGCTCATTGAGAACCGCTGACCTAGAGAGAATATACTCATTACAGAATTCTGGTATGAACAATATTCTAAACTTTTTTTAATATAAAAAATATTACATATGTCACCAAGTAGAGGCCTATGTACTTTCTCTAGCAATGTTTTACAGAAAATTGTAACTAAGTATATTCAGAAGTAAACTTTAAAATAGTAAGCACTAAAAATGGATATAACCATAAAAACTACTAGACATTAAAGTCTGGCACATTTGTTTATCTGTTTATCTCAAATATCATTAATTTGTTATCACTGTATTTTGTAGGAAATAACAAAGGTAACCCAACCAAGATTACAGTTTAGAGAATATACCTGTTCAAAGAAAGGGGGGTTTTTGGCAGAAAAGGCTGCCTAAGCTGTCCAAGAAAGGTTCAGGTTCTCTTCCATCTTTGAAATACCTGTCTGCCTATTCCTCAGGAATAACAAATTTAATTATTTAATGAAATTAATGTATTCTCATAGCATATGAGATTATGCATGTAAATCTTGTATGGATTTTTATATGCATAATGGGGTAACTGGGTTATTTCTCTAATGGTGAAGATTAGCTAGAATCTAACTTCTACGATATTTTCCTTTCACTTACCTTGATAAGATATCTGGTAATATCCCTCCCAGCAATATCCAGTCTCCTGGTAAGGTGAGGGAGAGAAAAGCCTTCATACACTGGGCAGATGTGAGTTACACCATCTCCAGAGTCTACCACTACACCAGTCAATAAACCTGCATAAAAACCAAATTTTAAATAAAAAGCCAAATCAGAAACTTAACCAAGTGGAAAGGTCTAGAAGCCAGAATTTCTTTATTATTTATTATTTTGCAACTTGTTTCTAATACACAGATACTAAAGTGAGTGTTCTCTTTTGAGACTTTTAGTCTAATCATGTGCTACCCAAAGGAGATGAGAACAGACCCTGAGACTAAGGACTGAAAAACAGAACATCTTCTTAAAGCTCAGTATAAGTCTTTATTTTTCTTTACAACTTGATCACTGACTTCCCTTGAAGTGAAATTTTCTAAAGCATCATGAGTAATTTTTTTTTTTTTGAGACAGAGTCTCACTCTGTTGCCCTGGCTAGAGTGAGTGCCGTGGCATCAGCCTAGCTCACAGCAACCTCAAACTCCTGGGCTCAAGTGATCCTACTGCCCCAGCCTCCCGAGTAGCTGGGACTACAGGCATGCGCCACCATGCCTGGCTAATTTTTTTCTATATATTTTTAGTTGTTCGATTAATTTCTTTCTAATTTTAGTAGAGGCGGGGTCTCGCTCTTGCTCAGGCTGGTCTCGAACTCCTGAGCTCAAACAATCGACCCGCCTCGGCCTCCCAGAGAGCTAGGATTACAGGCGTGAGCCACCGCGCCCGGCCTAAACTTATTTTCTAACAGAAAAAATTATATTAACCAGATATGCATTGTCTATAACTTAAATATTATTTATTTTTCCATCCCTAAAGAGGCTCTCTCCCCTTCTCTTTCCTATTAATACAAGTTTGCAGGCACTGTAGGACCTAATTGTAATGATTTGCCTTTGGTTACATTTATTCAAACCATCTCTTTTTTAAGTTGATACCATTTGTCTTTCCTTGATTTTATGCTGTAAGCTTGATAAACCTCAAATACTGCCTTTTAATGTTATAATCTTTTAAATAAAAGACTTTCCATTGCAAAAGAAAAAAAAAGATGAATCCACATCATCATTAACTTCCAGTAATACCAACTAAAGCAGGAATTTACATTTTATTTCTCAAATGGCCCTTCCTACCAACCTTGCCTTATTTTCTACCATTCTTATCAGGTCACATACTGGCCTTTCCCTGAACATACTTGACTCATTTCCAGTGCCACACCCTTTTGTCACTGGATTATCCCTTCTTTCCACTTTAAGTCCTACAGTTTCTTTACGGCTCAACTGGATTCTTACCTTTTTGTTTATAGGTAAGCCACCCTGACCACTCTAACCTCCAACCCAGATTCCCAAATTCCAGTTATTCCCTCAATCTTATCTGTACCATGCAGCCAAACACACCTTCCTAAATTGCCATGTCACTTCTTTTATTCAAAAACCTACAGTTCTGAATGCTTCTTCCTATTTTTATTTACTTATTTTTTTACTGATAGCACTAGTCACCATGTTTAGAAGGAAGAAAATTTTACTGTGGACTTGGAGTTAATCTGGGTAATATCACTGAACTATTATTTCTCAAAATTAAGGAGTCAATAATTAAACAAAATAGCTAACTGTCAGGAATTGAGAGAGGGTATCTTCTCAGTGGACAAAAATAAATTTATGAATATTGCTAGAAAAATCTGTTAGCATCAATTTTATTCAAATACAATTCAAATAAAATTCATTTCTGCAAAACTGTCTCATTTCCACCCTGCAAAACGGAACTCTCATTACAGGTTTTTAGCTTAGACTAAAAAATTTTAATACATATTTTTCCAAAGTACTTTATAAAATAATTTTGTTAATTATTTTTTAAAAAATGAAATCAAATTACCTAGATACAAATAAGCACTCCCTCCCACCTGGTAAAGTAACAAGTGAGTTTTGATTCCTTCTTCAAACGAAAAATTACTGACAGCTGACTATCATCTCCTTAAGGGCAAAGAGACCAGGTCTAGCTTACTGTTATTAATACATCCTCAGTACTAAACAGAATGCAAAGCACATGTTATGTTTGGTGAACGAAAAAAGCTGCTTTAAAAATTTAACTCCCTTAAGTATTTTCTAAGTATCTATATGTAGTACTAAAGATATTTTTAAAACCCAATAGGTATTTACTAAAGTAATATAGAACTAAAGATATTTCAAAAACCCATTATGTTTTTACAAGGTGATTTTTACTAATCCATGTGTAGAATCAGAACCATAATATTAAGTTGTTAAAGTTATAAAATAAGCAACCAAAACAAAAGGATACATCATTTCTAAGTATTATGTCACCTACATACTTAAGCAGTGAGACTTAATTCAGGTATCAGCTCTGTCAGAAAGCTGCTCTGACATGCTGAATCAAAATTATGCTTCTGTATATTTCTTTCTTTTTCATAAGTTCCTTCTGGGTATCTTCACACTTCAAATACCTAAAAGACTACCTGGTACATATCTGACAGCCCCATAAATTCTCCCTAAGTTCCTGCTGAATTTATAAGACCATCAAAAAATATAAAGAGCTCTCCCTACCTGGCCAATATTTTATTCCCAATAGACAGTTGCTAATGATAACACCAACAGAACATAGTAGTCCCTTCCATTAAATCCACCTCAAAAGTCAGAAATACACTCCCAAATGTCTACCTTCTCCCTATTAATCTATTATATATTTGACAAGCATTATTTTTGCTAACGTTTTTGGATCACTGTGTTTTTTTTCTTTTACTCAGGCCAATCCTGAGGCCAAATTCTATGTTTATTCTCTACTGTATTAAAATCAAAATAGCCTAAAAGAGAGAACATTCTATTTTTTAAAAAAGAAATTTTTTTTAATCTTTAATCTTTTTTAGTCTTCTTAAATCTTAAATCCTTCATTGTTTAGAAAAGCAAATAAAAGTGTATATGAAATCTTAATTTTAGAAACTAAAAGTATTTCAAATTATGGTATGTAAATAACATACTTTTCTGGAATTTATAATTTATTGAGATATCAAATTTCTACGACATAAAATGTACTCAATAAATGTTCACTGAATTGATTTTTCTAACAGTCAAGCTTCACCTACCTTGAGCATACAAAGTCAGAACTGCCTGGATGGCTACATACACACCCGAAAACTGGTAAGTTTCAAACATTACCTAAAAATGAAGAGAGAAAGGGAAATAAATTGGTATTTAGAATGTTACATAATAAATATCTATAGGCTTTCTTCATGATCACAAAGCAGATTAGTTGCCTGAAAAAGAATCAAAGGGAACTGAAAGAGTCCTCCGTTCTCATCAGCTCTCTTGCCTTTAAGTCCTGCTGTCAGAGAGCTCCAATTCTGAGGACAGATTTTTGGATACATACTAAGTCCCCAAGCACTTCATAAATGCTATAAAGCAAAGATTTCTGAATGTATTAGTTAATGGTTAATTAGCGTGAAAGAAAGCTTTCTGCATTTGAACAAGACTTTCCTAACTGATGTCATTTAACGGAAATTCTTTTAATTCAAAGACAAAATATAGAAATTGCTTAACTACTGAGCCTTCCAACTGCTCTCCTCCAATCTGGGCTAACACTGTGGCTCTACCCCCAGCAGTTAACAAAAAAAAAAAAAAAGGAGGTAAAATGAGAAGGCAAAGATAAAAATTAATGGCTAATTCCAAATTGTTGGCAGATGTAGAAACTGCTTAGTTGCTGAGCCAACCATCCCTACTGTAACTTCACTCCTCACTGAACTACCCTGGAGAGAGGAGGAGTTCCCTTGTGCCCTCACTGGTCAAACCCATGCTCATTCTCTGTAGCCCAGGTCAGCTGAGAACAACCTGCATGATGTTTTTGGGTGATTTCCAGTGAGCATTCCTTGATTGGTAGGGCTGCCTATCACTCTGAATATGTAGATATTAAGAAATATTACAACTGACCACAATGACAATTATATAGAATTTAAATTTTACAACTCTGAAACACATACTCATCAGTTAAGCAATTAGATATTCTGACTAGTATTCCACCATCCTTTCTTCCCCCTCCACAGGTATGAAAATGGAAGAGAGTGATTAATACATATATGGCACATATCAACTTAAAAGTCTGTTAATGAGATTAAAGTAGGACATTATCATAGCCAAATTTGCACTCACAAGTAACAGTATTAAAATATGAACCATAAGAAATGACATGGATTCTGTAACTAAAACTATGACCTAAAATTTTCAAAACACTTAACACAAACACTGACTTTTAATTTAGAATTTAAAAATATTGTCTAACAATAATTTCTTCTAAACCCTTTTCAAAATTTCCATTAACACCTAAACATATTTATATAGAACAAAATATTTACATTAAGTAGTGACTGGAAAGCTACTAAAATACAGAAAGTTATCAAAAGTTTCTACCTCGTATATAACAAAATGAGAGAGAATCTTTAAAAAATTACTTATCTAAACTATCAGGAAGGAAGCCCTCTTGCTCTTCTTAACTGCTTACCTCATTAGCCTTTTCAATCTCCTCCTGCTGGCTCTTCCTCTCTCTCTGGCCCTTGTCCTCTCACCACTGTCTACTCTCTCTTCTCTGGTGAATCTTATCATCTCTATTCTGGTGACTCTCAAGTTTATATCTCCCGTCTTTTCTCCTGAACTTATCTTATATATATAACTATCTGACATCTCTGCTTGGATGCCCAATGAGGACCACCAAACTTAACATGTCCAAAATTAAAGTTCAGATCATTCCTTCAAACTGTTTTACTTTTCTCAGTTTTTTCCCCACCTCAGTTGATGGTAACTCCATTTCCCAATTTCTCAAGCCAAAACCTCTAGGGTCATTCCTGACTGCCCCCTTTTCCATTATCCATATCTAATCCATGGGAAAATTCTTTGGCATGCATTAGGACCTTCAAAATAGACCTACAATCTGGTCCTTTCTTACTACTTCTACCTACTATTACTACTCCAATCCTAACCATTATTATTTTTTGCCTAAATAATTGACAAGGTCTCCAAACTGTTCTGTCTTCCACTTTGCCTCCCTATGGTATACTCAACTCACAACAGCAATCCAAGAAACCTAAATCAGCATATCCCTTCCCTGCAATAGTCCCTCATTTCTCTCGGAGTAAAAGCCTAGCTCCCGCAAGGCCCCATAGTTACTTATCCAGCCTCGTCTTCTGTTGTTCCCCTCTGAACCACACTGGCTTCCTTGCTGATTCTCTAATATGCCAGGCTTGTTCCTACCGTAAGACCTCCCTTTACCTGGAATGCTCTTCCCCACATATCCTGGCTAACTCTGTTAATCTGTCTTTGTTTAAACATCTTCTCAAAACTATGTATAACTGTAACCTCTCAATTCCCTTACCCCACTCTGTTTTTTTTCCTTTAGCATCTACAGTTGACCCTTGAACAACAGGGGTTTGAACTGTGTGTGTTCACTTACACACAGATTTTTTTCAGTAAATCTCTCCGTCCCCCCCTTCCAACTCCTCCACTTCTTCCACTTCTGCCACCTCGAGACAGCAAAATCAACCCCTCCTTGCCCTCTGCTTCCTCAGCCTACTCAACATGAAGACAATGAGGATGAAGACCTTTATGATGGTCTACTTTGACTTAATGAATAATAAATGTATTTTCTTTTCCTTATAACTTTCTTAATAACATTTTCTTTTCTCTAGCTTACTTTATTGAAAGAATACAGCATATAATACATACAACATACGAAATATGTGTTGACTATGTTATCTGTAAGGCATCGTCAACAACAGGCTACTAGTTAAGTATTTGAGGGGTAGTTAAGTTTGCACTGGGGTGAGGGGAGTAGGTGCCTTTAACCCTTGTGTTGCTCAAGGGTCAACTGTATTACCTTCTAACAAATCATTAACCCACTTAATTAAAAACTCAATTAACTTAATTAACTCACTAAATTAAAAACTTATTTTGTCTATTTGCCCCTACTAGAATATAAGTTCCATGACAGAAGGATTTTGTTTTGTTTACTGATATATTCTACTTATAATAATGACTAGCATATAGTATATGTGCTCAATAAATAGGATCTAGAAGAAAACAATTATTTTATTCCCTTTATCCACAGCAACAATAAGAAAAAAGAAAGAATTTTTGATTTAACATTACATAACAGAAACACACATACGCATAGTCCATCTAAAAACTTACCTCTACAATCTTCTCTCTGTTTTTGGTTGGGTTCATAGGGGGTTCTGTGAGCAAGATTTTACAATTTCTGGTGTCTATGTTAAGTTTCTCTGGTCCAAATGTATAGTCCCACAGGTGTTTCATGTCATCCCAGTTTCGTACTATGCCATTTTCCATAGGATAGTTCACTTCTAACATTGAGCGTAATTCACTTGCCTCATCACCAACCATAAGATCCTAGAAAATTATATCAAAGTTTTAGACCAAATTTTTGCATAAAATTATATTCATTCCCATAATATTTCAGAAAACTTGGGAATAATTAATTTTAGTCTTTCTGGCACTTTCAGATGAAGTTTTTATTCCACAAATTAAAAATCTTTTCTATCAAGAACAATGACTTGCAAAGTTTAATCATGGATAATAAATTTTTATGTACAATGTGGTTTAAATCAATAAATTGACCTTACCTTTAACACATATGTTTCCAAAAGAAGAGCATAAGCACAAATAAACCCCACATTTTCATATTTTGGAGGGTTTTGTATGAGGTTTCATCTGTTTCTTTTGCTCAAATGTTCAAAAAATAAGGCCTGTGATATGTGAAATAGTACATCAGGGAAAAAAAAACTTGCAGGAAAATGCTCAATGCATGCAGCACATTTCTTTGTACAAAATATGATAAATGTAAGTACTATAAAGCATAATGAAAGCAAAAAAATCAAATGATTGCTTTATTACTCTATAATATATATATGTACCAACCAACATAAATTTCACAAATTTCTACCTACACATAGAATTATAATATACTAAGTTTCTACATATGCCTCGCTAAGATGAATGAGAATTTGTAGAGATGTAAAAAATTAAGACATAGGGAAACAACTCATTCTTTAAAAGTATCTCATTAGCAATATTTTCAATCTTAAAATGTAATATTGGAAAACTATGCTATCACACATGAAGTGTAATACTCACAAGTCTTATCCCTAACTAGACCATACTTAAGATGACCCACATTTGAAAAGTCACACTTAGTATTTATAAGGCTAATGATGTCCTAGAACTTAAACTTATTTTGTTGCCAAATGTGTCGGTTTTGAAAATCAAAAAAAAAAAAAGAAAAAAAAAATCTCATTTTCAAAAAACAGCTAGTTAAGATGTTAAATAATATTAATTTCTACATGTGCAGATTACTCAACTTAAAAATCTAGTATCAGAAAAAGCCATTTGCTACTTAGGTGTGTTATTTAAGTTTAAAGTATGGGGAAATGATGAAAAGCAGCAGCAAAATTAACATGAGATGTCCTAAAACAGGGGCTTGAAAAAATATATACATTGAGTTTTAAACTTTTTTTTTTTTTTTGAGCAGGGTCACACTCTGTTGCCCGGGTAATTCAGTGGCGTCATCATAGCTCACTGCAACCTCAAACTCCTGGGCTCAAGCGATCCTCCTGCCTCAGCCTCCTAAGTAGCTGGGACTACAAGCGCATGCAATCACAATGGCTTTTTTGAATTTTTTTTTGGTAGAGTTGGGATGTTGCTGTATTGCTCAGGCTGGTCTCAAACTCCTGGCCTCAAGAGATCCTTCTGCCTCTGCTTCCCAAAGTGCTAGAATGACAGGTGTGAGCCACTGTACCCAGCTGAGTTTTAGACTTTTAAAAAACAAAACAAAAAAAATTTAAAAAAAAGATCAGAGGTAAAACCAAAGTGATTAAAAACAGATTTCTGGAAAATCCACTGAAAGCAACACAAAAAAGGAAAACAAAGTTAAAGGAGATGCTAGAAATGTTCACTAAAATTTTCTGTTGCGACTGATCTCTTATAAAGTTAATTTACCACAACTTATTACTCAAATTTCTTAAATATTAACTGTTTAGGATCTTCTATGAGGAATATGTAAAAATCTATATTTGTGAACTCTAGTTAGTGACATGTATATGTTGAAGTATTCAGAAAGAAGTATACTGATACATGCAATTTACTTTGAAATACATCAAAAAACAAGATGCACTGAGGGAGAGATAGATGGACAGATATGTGATAAATCAGTATAATATATATTAATGTAAGAATCTAGGTGATACGTATATAGGTTTCAATGCTAAATTCTTTCAACATTGTTGTGTATTCTAAATATTGCTTAATAAAATGTTAGGTGAGAAATCTATACCTGCAAAAGTACATACACCACTTTTGGTCATTAACAAATCTAATTTAATACTCAATTTTGTTACTTTTCTCTGTATCTTAGGTGTTGTACAAGATAACAGATTAGATAATCAGATGGTTATATAACCAATATTATTTCAACCAATTTAGAATAAGTGTGATCTGGTTTGAACAGACTATTTATTTTTTTTTTTTTTTTTTTTTTTGAGAGAGAGTCTCACTTTGTTGCCCTGGCTAGAGTGAGTGCCATGGCGTCAGCCTAGCTCACAGCAACCTCAGACTCCTGGGCTCAAGCAATCCTACTGCCTCAGCCTCCCGAGTAGCTGGGACTACAGCCATGCGCCACCATGCCCGGCTAATTTTTTCTATATATTTTTAGCTGTCCAATTAATTTCTTTCTATTTTTGGTAGAGACGGGGTCTCGCTCTTGCTCAGGCTGGTCTCGAACTTCTGAGCTCAAACAATCCGCCCACCTCGGCCTCCCAGAGTGCTAGGATTACAGGCGTGAGCTACCGCGCCTGGCCAGACTATTTACTTTTTATTCCGTGTAAGAATTGGGGCTTTACCTGATCCAATGCCAACTCAACATATTAATGAAAGCCTCATGTATCTGCTTCTAGGACCATATATACTACAAAGGATTAATTAAAAGAAACATCTGGCATTGAGTATTCTTATCTTCCTCTGAACAAAGAGGACATTTAAAATGAAAGAAAAGTTATTAACTTATTTAAGAAGCACAAAATGTCTTGAGTACTGAAGCTATCTAATTAAAAAATTTACTGTATCTAAAATTTTAATCAAAAAATCCTGGAACCAGGTGAGAGGGGCAAGGGCAACGTAACCTAAACATTTGTACCCCCATAATATGCAGAAAAAAAAAAATCCTAGAACCTATGATCTTCCCTAGTTTCAACTTCCAAAACCCCAAAATGCTAAGAGTGTTATGTAACTTGCCCTCATCACTCAGAAACAAGTTTTAAGTGATCAGATTCAGGTCTTAGGTTTTTATTAATACCACGTGCCCCACTACTGGACCGCAAGCCTAAACCATCACCTATTACCTAAAAGAATGAAAAATCACAGTAACTGCCTGAAATGCTATTTCAAAGGCACTTACACTTCACAAAAAGCGGGGAGTATAGATAAATTTGCCAAGAATCATTTTCAACGACGTCACCTCAAATTAGAAAATAGAGCAAACACAAATGTAAAACCAAAATTAAATCTCTAGAAGGAAATTCCATTAAAAATTTTTGTTAAATTAAGTCTACACTGTTCTCTACAAGTACACCCTTTTTGTAATTTCCTTAAGATATTAAGACAAATGCATCTTTTGTTTAGAATAAATATAAGAATTTAAATGTTTTTGTTTATTCGAAAGAAGATCTTGCAAAGTTACTGTTAACTAGTTAAAATATATCACATCATTAGAAATGCTTGATATTAATTTTTGTCAGAGCTTCTTACAAACAATATTAAAAACAAACTTGAAACTACCTTCTACAGAAGCACTCAGACTACCACACAAAAGACTCAAATGTCTGAAATGAGCCCAGCAAGCTTCTAGTTGAAAATAAAATGGCACTACACAATGTTATTTATTTGGTGGGGTGGGGGGGATCTGTTGTTCGTGGAAAAGCTTTACAGGTGCTTTACCTTTTTCTTATTTATCCTTAGTTTGTCAAATGTGCTCATCAGTAAGAACGATAGGGAAACAAGTTACTCTTATTTATTCCTCTTTTTCTATCTATGGTTCATTAGCATATTAAAGTTTTACTCAGTTTACTAAGTACACATATGATACTGTACTGGATGCAAATATATACACAGGCTAAGACAGGCAATGATCAATTTAACACCAGTCAATAAAGGGGATTTATCTAAATGTAACAACTTCCCTAATTTTCTGAATCATACATATCCTATATAAATAAAGCCATTTGGTTTCTAATATTATGCACAACACATTCCATTTTAATGATAACAATCATCTACAAGAAAAACAAGGAAAACAATTCAAAACTATGTTAGTAATTAGTTCTTGTTTGGTCCATTGTATGCAATCAGGAAAGTATAGGACTTAATTAGTTGCTACCAAACTGAAGCAATGAAAAAGATTAAAAATCAAAGTACTTAAAATAAAAATATGGAACTACCCCCCCCAATACTAAAGGGACACAAAACAACAACTACTGTCCCACCAAGCAAAAGTGGAAAACAAACAGAGAGCATGTGTGTAACCTCACTTACCATCTTTTTGTTATTCTACTTCAACGGGTCAAGAAAGGTGAAGAGAGAGAAGGTAGAAGTAAGAGTCAGAAAAGGCCTAAATAAAATCCTCACTGAAATTTTTAAACATACAAGCAATAGAGACAAATTAGGTTGAGGTCAGATGCAGTATTACCATATTTTATGGAGTTAATAATTAGGGCCAAATTAACATGGACAGTTATTCCTGAATGAAAATTAACTCATTAAATGATTTAAATTTCCATTTCTTTTAGGCTACCACCACATTTTAGCTAACAAGACACAAAATGTACACGTCAAACTACTAAGCACAGAAATTCCAAAAAGTTTAATTCATTACTGATTTTAACAACGTTAATTAAGAAAAATAAATAACAACAGCAAAGGTATAGCTGAGTAGGTAGAGAGTTAGATAGGTCAGGGTTGTTTTTCCAAGCTCTAGTATTCAAGTTAAATTTGACACAGATCTCTTTTACTGTTTTCTACTGGAAGAACAACTTAACTTGAGAGGCTTAAAAGACTGCAGAGTGAATAGGACTGAGCCAGTAGAACACAGAATGACAAACCATACAAGCAAATGCTACTGGAGAATTCCTTGGCAAAAATGTCTTAATAGAATATCGACAAGGTTGATTTGTATCACTTGGCCTTAAAAAGAAAGTAGGTGTAAAGAGATGTGCATTATTTGTGCCTATGCTGAAGAATAAAAATGGCTATACATGATATATCTTCATACCTCAAATAGGTTATTGTCTGTAAGTACATAAGAAGCCATTTTTCTTTAAAAATCTGACACTAAATAAAAAGTATTACCTCCAACTTCATTAAGCACTTTTTCCTACTATCAGCTAAATTTCAAGTTCATTTAAGACAGAATTCAATCAGAATGAAAGGAGTTCACAAAAAAATAAAGAATTCCATAAATTTCCCAAAAGACCCTTAAAAAAATTATATTGAGTGTCCCATTTTATTTTTTTGTAACACAACAAAGGCCAGAATAATTAATTCACTACTTTAAGTCTTTAAAAAACTAGAACAGAATCTAAGTTTCAGTTTCTATTTTTATTCTTTGTGTAACTCAATTCGCTAGTCCCAACTGCAGAGAGCTAAGTAGCAAATCTCTACCACCTATTACCACCTTCCTAGGTGTCTCAAACAAATGTTCCAAAGAGGTACACCCTATTCATTTCAAATGACTCATAAATTTATAGTTCACTTAAGTCTTGCCAAAGACTGTCCAGATTGGACCAACAATGCCAGCTTGTTCACAAATAATTCATAATAGCCCCTAAATTCTAATGCATTCTGTGTAACTTGCTCCCTAGGCCACCTGAAGAATTCAAAATCAATTGGTGACCACTGTTCTTTTGATTGTTCTATTTCTTTCATTCTTCTAAAATAATGTAACTTCCACTTGATCTCTGATCCCCTTAATAAGGGAGAAAAACCTATCATCCTTAAGGTAGAACCTTTCATGTAAAGTATAGTGAGTAAACAAGGCAAACTTTCTCTCCTCTCTATATGATTAAGGTAGATGAGTGCAAGGCCAAATAAATACTTGCATGGCTTCCTTCTGCACATAATCAGTTATATTAGTGAAAAGAGAAACCAATGAGATTTACATCCTGTGTTTTCCTGCCTAGCTATATAAAAAGTAGGGGGATCAGGGCATGAAAACATAGAAAGAAAAAGTTGTCAGGTCCCAAAGAGACAATAACGTATAATGACAAATATATGCAATTGAAACACATAAAAATATCAGGCTGATTTCTTTTAAAATTAACAGGACTTTGAGTCACTAATAGTGATTCCAATCAATGTAAAAAACTTAAGTATTTTACTCCAAAGAGTAATGGCATCAAGTCATACATAAACAAAATCAAATGAAATTAGCTTCGGTTTTTGTGCTCTTATTCAGATACTGATATAAATTTAAAATATGAGAAATTTTGCTCTCCCCCTTTGCTTTTCATGGCATATTTTAAAACCACTTAAAAGAACTGTTAAACTACAGTTAAAAGAACACCTTACATGTCTTCATTATCATTTATCAATAAATAAAATATTACCTTGATTTCAATGTTTCCCACTTTGGTGGTTGATCTGATAATAGGTCTTCCAACCAAAGCTGGGAAGATGTGTTCTGGAAAGTTAGAGCCTGCATATCCACACTTCACAAACTGGAAAGAAACAGAAAAAGAAGGTTAGTGTCAAGGTGTTTAGTACATTTAAAAACTGTACCTGAAAAATACCACTTTGCATTCACACAATATTTTAAAAGTAGCCAACTAATCTATTGTATCATCTCCTTTTACTTCCTTTTTTCCCCCCTTTAGAATATATTAAGTATTGATCCTTTTACTTCTTTCATAGCACTGATCACTCCCAGAGTTTATGTTTATTTACTGCTTAATTAGTACCTAAGTCCCCTCATTAGAGAGAAAGCCCCACAAGAGCAGGGAGCTAAGCTAAGTAGTTTGTGCTGGAGCCCGATACCTAAAAGGCCATGGCACACAGTGGTCACTCAAGAAGTATTTGAGGGATGGACAAATTCACTGAACAAATGCTAAGTATTTTAAAAAAGAAAAATGTTAGAAAATTAACAGACCTAGGCCAGGCATGGTGGCTCATGCCTGTAATCCTAGCACTCTGGGAGGCCCAGGCAGGAGGATTGCTTGAGGTCAGGAGTTTGAGACCAGTCTGAACAAGAGTGAAACCCTGTTTCTAC